GGCCCCGGGCGGTGGCCGAGGCTCCGGGCACGGCCCCGGCGTCCACGGGAAGCTGGCGCCGAGGTCCCGGGGCTCCCTTCCCCTGGCCGCGGGGGCACCTGCGTGCGGGCCCCGGGCTGGGCTTCCAGCACTGCTGACTGGCCCCGGAGCGACCCGGTGCGCCTGGAGGGAGGCCGGCGGGGAGCAACCAATGGCAGGAGGGCTACAAAAGGGAAGACTACTAAAACATGTCCTGGACCGAGAAAATCTGAATGGCCGAGGCCTGATAGAGAGAGGAGGCAGCCTTGGCAGTTGGGAAGGAACTCGAGCCCAGGGCTGCACTCCCCAGCACCCCTCTCCGCCGCCCCGATCCCAACCAGGGGTGGTGGCTCTGGGCAAGGAGCAAGGATCGTGCTGGGGCTCTTTCTTCCATTTGGACTTGATGGACTCTTCTTGGAAAGTAAACTTCGCATTTCTGTGCCTTTGAGCCCTATGTTCTCTTGCTGTTTTTTAGGAGAAAGGGGGCTTTTGGACAGGGGGACTTGTACGTGGGAGTGTGGGTGACGCCCGGTTTGGTCTCATGATAGTGTGGCATCCATATCCCCTGCCCGTGCCCATACCCCAAGTCTGTGATCTGAGAGAGGGAACAGAAGGAGCTAAATAAAAACAGAAAAGCTATCATCTCTGCCTGCTATCAGGTGTCCACTGGGCCCAGTGGGTCAGGGTGGCAGGAAGGCCTGAGGTCTGGGAGCTCACTGTGGAATGTCAGGCCAAGGGCCTGGGGCATTGATTCATGGCAAGCCCCCAGGTGTGGTTGAGCATTGTGAGGAGCACTGTGGGAAAGGATATTATTTGAAGAGGGGGAGCGGCACCAAGAGACTCAGGATGCAGCCCATCTCATCTCTGGACGGGACACCCTGCAGTGAGCCACTCTGAGGGCTGCAACGGAAGCAGAGTCTGGGCCAGTCTCAGGAAAGGAAGGCTCGGGCAGACCAGGGCCTGGAGGCCAGTAAGTCCCGCCTGGACCCTGAGCGTGGGTGCATGGAGCTCCCAGGGAAAAGGGGTCCAGTGCAGCCAGGGCCTCTATGATGAGGGGCAGACAGGGAATCAGAAAAGATTATGCGGAAGAGGTTAAGGGAATGAGGGCCTCAGGCCAAGTCTACCAAGAGAGTGGGAGGCACGACCAGCCTTCTCAGAGAGGTCTGGAGAGCTTTTGCATCTAAGCTGAGCACTCCCGAGCTAATCTCTGGCCCCACTCTTGCTGACGGGCTGATGCTGCAGCTGCTGCTGGCTGGGCTGAGAACCCAGATGTGCCAGGGGAGGGCTGAGGGCTCTCTGGTCTCCTTGGAGAGCTGGACACTTGCCAGCCACGGGAAGAAAAGTTACCCAGCTCAGAATGGGGGACATCACGGAAGCTGGAGAGATGCCTGTAGACCCAGAGATGAGTGAGGGGTCCCCCAAACAGTCAAGGTGAGGCTCAATGCCATAATGAAAGATATCTCTGCTTTCTGCAAGCAAGACACTGGCTGGCACGCTTGGCATCCTGTTCCTAGCCCACAGGTGTTAGGGTTCCTATTTCACAGGGCAAGTGTCTGCAGCACAGATCCCAGGAAAGCTTTGACTCTGGGCAGAGGAGTCACAGGGTCCAGGCAGGAACAAAATGTGGGAATCTGGCCCCAGGCCTGCCCACTGAGCCTTCCATCTGTGGAGAGGCAGGGCTGCTCTTTGATGATGGAAAGGAAAGAGCCAGACCGGCCTGGGTCCAACCTCTGCTCAGCCACTCACTCCCTGCGTGACCCATGGCCTATCTTAGCCTCTCTAAACCTCTAGCTCCTCACCGCTGACCCAGATGATTCCATCTCAAGGTGGCTGGGAGGGTTAACATTCGTTCATAAGATACGGTTTGTGGCAATGAGAAGGTGTTCCTTCAATTGTTACTGTTTGTGTATTATTATAATCTCATGACCAGTTTGGACAGAGCTTCTGCCTCGCTTCAGCTCCAGGTTTTTATGCCCTGGAAACATAATAAAATTGACCAGCAAGTCCTGCTTTTTAAGTTCCAGGATAGAAAAAGGTGAGCGATCTGGCTCGGTGGCCCGTGCCTCTCAGGCATGGTGAGGGTGCCCCCTGCAGGTGGAAGCTCGAGTGTGCAGGAGATGTGTGAGGTCGGAGGGATGGATGTGAAAGTACCTAGTCTCTTCACTTTCCAGCTGAGTGACCTTGGGCAAATGACCTAAGGGCTTTGAGCCCTGGTGTTCCGCCCTGTATAATGAGCTAAAATATGAACTTACGTCATAGGCTGTTGCGCAGAGAAATGAGAGAATGCATTTCAAGCCCTTAGTGTAGTGCCTGGCCCTGTGAGCACTCACTGAGTGGAAGCTATTGAGACATATTCTATTCACAAGGTTGTTATAAAGAGAGAATGCCCGGGAAGGTGTTTTATAAACGTAAGTCCACAACACACTAGTTATTCTCTTATCAGGACCATGTGTTTGAGTGCACACATGTGTATATTTGCATGCTGTTAGGTGTTTGCCTAGTATTCAAAGAGGTTTTTTTTTTTTTAAGACTTTATTTATTTATTTGAGAGAATGAACGAGAGAGAGAGAGAGAGAGAGAGAGAGAGAGCACAAGTAGGGGGAGGGGCAAAAGGAGAAGGAGAAATAGACTCCCCGCTGAGCAAGGAGCTCAATGCGGGGCTCGATCCCAGGACCCTGGGATCATGACCTGAGCCAAAGGCAGATGATTAACAGACTGAGCCACCCAGGTGCCCCTCAAAGAGGTTTTTTTTTTTTTTTGTCATAAAGGTTTTCTGACATACACACATCATGTGAGTACTTATATAGATGTGTGGATGTGTGAATATTTGTGTGTGCATATGTGTATGGATCGACCTAACAGGTACTCCCTGACACATTAGGGTCTCCTGGGCCAGAATACCTTGAATCTGCCGGAGATTCTCTCCCTTCCTCTCCCTCTGCCCCTCCCCCAGCTCATGCTCTCTCTCTCTCTCAAATAAATAAATAAATAAATCTTTTAAAAAATAAATAAACTTCAAGTCCCCAGGAATCTGTGGGTGGGGTGGGTTCACTGAGTTCATAACTTGGCAGTGCTGTGTCATGAGACAGAGCAGCCCAAGGGCCCTGAATACCAAGAGATGCCCCTGATGGGTACCACAAAGGGACCCGGAGGGCCACAGGACCATCTCCATCACCCTCTGCTGCAGACTCAGTCCAGCTCTGCCTTCAGAAGTGGGGGCCAAAGAGAGGTAGAGGTAGAGTAAGGCCCGATCAAAACCCAAACCCAGAATCCCAGTCAGCCTCACTCGCGTAGCTGAAAAAGCAAGAAGCTCTAGGTCCCTGTTATCTGCAGGGCCCTGCTGTATCAGGTAAGTCCCTCTCTTGTGGGCCCCACTGGGACATATTGGTCCCACTGGGACAGTCACGCTTTCCTCAAGGACAGCTCTGTGTTGTTCACAGGCCTTGACAAGAACTTTCAAGGTTTGTGACACACACTCAACTAGCCCTGTGACCCTTCGGTACCCCATCAGCACTCCTGCCCGGGGGCCACATTTGGCACTGTATTTGGGGTCTGCAGGTAGAATGTTCAATCTGGTCGCCAGAGAGAGACCCTGGAGTGAGGCAGAGCCAGTTCTCCCTGGCGGCTGGAGCACTGCCCCGGGCGTGGCCGGGCTGCCCGTCTGGTCCCCTTGTACAAGAATCTGCATGCTTCCTCCCTTCGTTGTTTCCTTCCTCTCGGTTCCTCCCTCGCCAGCTTACCTGGAGGCAGGTAATAAAGCAGGAGGAGGGAGATGGATGGATGGGAAGGGTGGAGAGCCACGTGGTGCCATAAAGCCCAGCCAGAGAGGGCCCGTCCGGGGAGTGTCCAGCCTGCGGGAGTCAACGCTCAGAACGTGGACTGTCAGCCCCGTGAGCCAGAGCTGGGGCAGCAAGGCCCGGGGAAGGCCATGCACCGAGGCGCGCCAGGAGGCCTCAGAGGCCTCAAGGGGGCCGAGGGCTCCTCCGAGGACTTGGGGGGCTCTTGCCTGGAGGCCGGGAGGAGCTTTGGGGTGCTGAGGGAGAACGGCGAGGCCGAGGAGGCGGCGGGCGGCAGGAAGCGCGCCCGGCCGGTGCGCTCCAAGGCGCGGCGCATGGCGGCCAACGTGCGGGAGCGCAAGCGCATCCTGGACTACAACGAGGCCTTCAACGCGCTCCGCCGGGCGCTGCGGCACGACCTGGGCGGCAAGAGGCTCTCCAAGATCGCCACGCTGCGCAGGGCCATCCACCGCATCGCGGCGCTCTCCCTGGTCCTGCGCGCCAGCCCCGCGCCCCGCTGGCCCTGCGGGCACCTGGAGTGCCACGGCCAGGCCG